AGGACATTCGAGGGCTGGCATCTGGTGGAATCTATGCCATGGGCAGGCCCAGCTTTAGGGAAAGGCGAGCAAGGCAGTTGCCTTGGGCCCTGCACCTTCAGGACCCCGCGCTACCCGGTGCCCGCCCACTCACTGCCCTGGCTGGAAGCCGCCCGGTCACATGGTGCAACCAACCACAACATGCTGCCTTGGTCCCGGCAAACTCTTTGGTTGGGCCTGGCCACAGGCTGAGGGGTGATAACAGGTGGCCCCTTTCGACATCTTGACAGGAGTGGGGAGTTCACCACACACACTAGGAGAAGGTCCTACCAGCCTCTTAATGAGCTCTGCTTGGAACTCACAAAGGGGCCGGATCTCAGCTGAGAATCAGACTCAAAATGAAAAGAAATACCAATGCCCAGTGTTGAATCAACAGCACAAACACAGAGCAAGCTGTTGTTCTGGATACAGATAAGAATCCCCAGGATTTAACCTACTTCAGCCGCTCAAGGGAAGGGCATTTTTAATCATATCACATAAACCCTGCAATAAAAATAATTACCCCAGAGATCAGTATTAAAGAAGCCTAATTGAGTCTGACGTTATCACCCTTCTACTAGGATTTCATAGCCTCCACTCCCACCTGGACCTGCTGCCAGACCCTTTCTGGTTTGAAATTTTCCAACATTTGGTTAGACTTTAACAGGATCATGTAAGATACGTGGCTGAACCTTGCTTGCCTTAGTGGCGCAAGCAGATCCATTGCCCTTAATGGAACTACCTTGGGGATTACAGTGAACAGGATGTGGCCTTCAAATATTTTAGTAAGAAATGGGGAGGGGGGAAAGGAGGCAAGAAGGGGCTATTACTTAGCATATGCCTGGTTTTTGTGTCTGCAGGTCTGATCCAGAGCCTGTTGAGGTCCACAGGAATTTTTCCGTAGATATATCAGGGATCTCTGGATCAGGCCTAAGAGCTCACATCATGTCCCATTCTTCTTTGACATTCTCCCAGGACTCTGTTCCTTCCTGTCACCATCTCTGAGCCAAAGCTCACAGTTCCTGTTTGGGCAAAAACTTCCACTGTGTGCAATGGGAATTCAGCCCAAGTAAGGACTGCCAGAGCTGGCTGCTTGATGTTAATCCATGCACCTGTTTTCCTGCCCCCCACCTCCTGTTTATGTTACTAGAATTTCAGCATCTTGAGAGGGGGGAGGAAAAGAAGGGAGGGCTCCTGGCGTAAATCTGAACCATCCCTTGCATCTCTGTGGCCTCTGCCAGGCCACAAGTTACCTCTCACTGAGTTCCTCCCATGTTGTGTGACCTCTTCCCTCACCAAGTCTATCTACCATTGCTCCACAGGGAAGGGGCTTTGGGAGCAGGACCATGCGTGGAGCACAGAACTGGCTAGGCTCCATGTGGAGATCCATACAGCTGGGAGCGGAGTTAACTTCCTCTGCTCCCTTCAGTATATGCTACCATGCTTACACCCTATGGGTCGCAAATATGGGTCGCCATTACATTTCAAAAGGGTGGCCGAGTGTCTCCCCAGGTGGCTCTGCCCTCCCTCCTCCCCCTGTTTTTGAATTGCTTTGGGTCATCAGGTCTTCTTGGATTGTCAAAATGGGTCCCCATCTGGTAAGGGTTGCGAACCACTGGCCTAGGAGCTGCAGGGACATGCCAGCCACTTAAAGAAGCAGGGCGGGACAGGCAAGCCTGCCTTAGCCTGGCTGCGCCACCAGACTTCCCAAAAACATCCCCAGATTCTTTTGCAGCCATCGGGCCCAATTCTGGGAGACTTCGGCAACACCAGGAGTGTCAAAATGGGTCCCCATCTGGTAAGGGTTGCGAACCACTGGCCTAGGAGCTGCAGGGACATGCCAGCCACTTAAAGAAGCAGGGCGGGACAGGCAAGCCTGCCTTAGCCTGGCTGCGCCACCAGACTTCCCAAAAACATCCCCAGATTCTTTTGCAGCCATCGGGCCCAATTCTGGGAGACTTCGGCAACACCAGGAGACTTGGCAGCCCTAGTGGGGGGGGGGGGG